ATATAATTATAAAGACAATTTATTCATTATTATCACTATTTATATTTTCAGCTGCGAGTTGGGCGTTACCCATAAATTTGACTTTAATACTGTCGCCCCCTCTAACAAAAGACGCCGGCCCTGGAGCTAAGTACTCATGCTCATTAGAGCTGTACAAATATGGGTAGGTCGGAGTAGAGGAGACGTGATTTCTATAAGTGTAGATGAGTACTATGAGTATAAAGCTTATATACTATATATACGTATGTATGTATATATAGAGACTTTTCGGGTGCTTCCCATTAGGCGGCTGCGCTGATTGTCGTCTCCGCCGACTGCTGTGGCTGCGTAGTCTGCTCTGGGCTCTGCTCAGTCGCGGATGCTTTTGTCTCTGCTGGTGTCTCTGCCTTACCCAGGCACAGCTGCTCACACTCCGCCTTGGAATCGAAGTTGTTGCTGTTGCCGCCACAGCCGCCGTAGATGAACTCCTCGCAGGCGTGCGTGTCCAGATTGTAGGCGAAGCGATAGAATAGGGCAAAGCAGCGACCCGCCACCTTGGGCTGGTGGCACTGCTCCGGCACCCTGGCCTCGTCCACAGCCGGTAGCTGCGTTGTCGGGCCCTCTGGTTCCTGTTTCTCCACCACCAGCCGGGACTGATCCACAGCGGCGCTGTGTACACACATGGCGCCCAGGACTACAGTGAGCGCAATTATTGACAGCTGGGAGCACATTTCGTTTCAGTTTCTTAGCCGCGAATGATGCCAGCTCTGGCATTTAGCCAGCCTTAAATACTGAAAGCCGAAACGAATCAACACGTAGCCGTAGTTAATTTCGTTATCATAGCCTATTTGCTCGAGTCATTCGTCAAGGCATGTAAATCACAGTGACTCGCTGACAGTTCTTGACGTCCTCACCTGCCTCAGTTGCAGTTCAACGCACATATTAATATTTCAGAGTTTTATGATAGTTCAGCTCCAGCTAAATCATATGCTACTTCCGCACAGCTGTCGCCAGTTCCCCAATTTGCTTTGACGCGCTTTGTTTTCGTGTTATGAACAATTGTCACGGCACAAGTGACGTGACGATCAGTATCGCGGATATCAAATGTTGTATTCATGTAAAGTAGTTAATGGGATATTAAATACATTTTTATTCAACTTTATTGCTATCATTTCGGATTTTTTTTGTTTTGTTTTTATATGTATTTAATTAGCTTGTTTTATTTTTTTTTTATTATTATTTATATCTTATAAATTTATAAAATATTAGCAATTTTAGAATATTATATCGAAGTATATACTTAAAGAATTTTAAAATAATAATAGCAAGCGAAAAATTCCTTACCATCGCTAGTATTCACATCAAATAAAATCAAGGGAATTCATTGTGTTGTTTAATCTGTTGTATCTTTTATGGATTTCGCAATATTTGCTATAATTATTCTTATTATTTATTTATTTATTTATTTTTTTTTTTTTCATTTTCAATACCAATATTTGCTTTTATACAGTTTATATAGTTTTAGACTTAATTTTATATACAAAATATCAACTATGATCAGGAAACTAAACAAATGTCAAAACGATATGATACTTCCGGAATCATCTATATACATATATGTATGTATATTCTATGCATCTGTTTATATCTGTATCTATGATTTGCATATTTGTATGCACATACGCATCTGTCTCACTCAATATGCATGAGTTGATAAGAACAGATGCATATATTAACGATTGCTTATGAATGTTTTTATCATTATATATAGCATATTATGTTTTAGCTTAAGCCATGTTATCTTCCAGCAATTTTCCTGTAAATAAATCCCTTCCATCGGATTCTTATGAATTCAAGTAGGACATGGAAGAGATGGAACAGAATTTCGATAGTAGTAGTGGATGTTTGTGGCACATGAAGCAGTATTCACAATCATGCCTTCTCTGTGATTCTCATGAGCTCAAGTAAGGCATAGAAAAGAGTAACTACTGTTAGTAGTAGTATTTGATCATGGTGGTGCTTGAAAAAGTCTACATATAATTGTATCATGCCTTCTCTGAGATTCTCATAAATTTTAGCAACATTTCCAGCATAAGTTCATCTATAATATAAGCCTATTTCCATTTCTTTCTATTTCTTTATATATTTTATGCCTTTCGATAACTTTTCATCTCCCTAACTTTGGAGTCTCTCAATATATTATAGAAATTCCACTGCTAAATTCAATGCAAATAACCAGTTTTAGCCACTATCACAATATTTCATGGAATTCGCTAATTGTTATGAGAACAGTTAACGATAAGCACAAATACGGCTTTCCGGCTAAGTTAAGCAACAGGCGGAACATCTTGTTTACTAACTGAGAATTCACACAGAATACATTAATATTTGGCCAGCATATTCAATATGGTAATTGACCGCAAAGTAGAGCGTAGAAAATGATATAAACAAACGTTAGATGGATCTTTTATTTGGTATGCATAGACTGTGGCGTTATTGTTGATTCATAGAACTTGAGTCACTTCTTGACCAGGCACGCCTCCTCGCAGGTCTGTCGGAAGCCCCAGCGATTGTCGTTGCCCCTGCAGCCGCCGTACTTGAATGTCTCACAGCTGTTCTTCTCCTTATTGTAGTAATAGCGCTCCAGGCTCATGCGACAAGGACCCGTTTCCAGAGGCTGCAGGCATTTCGCATCTGTCACAAATTTGGAAACATAAGAAATCAACGAGTAATCTAGCAATTTCCTTCAGACTCTACCTTGCTTGCGTTGTGGCTGCGTTGGCTGCTGCTTGGCAATTGGCCTGGCTGTGGTGGTGCTGGTGGAGCCAACCGCCTGTGGCTGGGCCTGTGCCAGCGGCTTGGGCTTGGCCGTGGTCACCGCCTGAGCCAGCTGTGTGAGGCCGAGCAAAACAATTGCGGCCAAGCACAGAAATTGGGTCATTCCCATCACTCGTTTCATTCTCAATGTGATCGCTGATAACTGCGCGTTAATAACTGCAAACAACAACTGAATCTTCTATTTTTTGTGCTCAAAGCTGTCTAACGAGCTTTTTGAAAAATACAAAATATATATTTATATATGTAAGCACTGTGTACGTGTGTGTGTGTGTGTAGCGAGGCGTTTAGCTCAAATTGCGCATACGAAGTGTTGAACACAAACTAGCTTAATTATCAAATTTACACACACGCGCGTCTAGGTATATACATATATGTAAATATATATATACATATAT